CTTGGAGACGGCTGAAACAGAAGCTGCATTGCCCAATAATTGCATTCTGCAAATGATGTTGAACAGTTCATATTCTAACTTGGAAAAAAGGGTCAAAGCCACTGAAGGGCTGTCCTGGTTGTAGACAGGAGGTTTCATAGTCACATCACATGCTCTGTTCAATGTGCTAGGCCCTGTCCTACCAACCTCATCTGTGTAGCTGTTACACCATGTGAGTCGGAAGGAAATGACTTCTCTACATCTTAGACCAATGAGGCAATTTCTGCATTAGAAGCAGCAAGAGTTGATTATTGAAATTTTTTCCTCCCCTATTGAAAATTTTGACTGTTTACTGAAAAACCAAAAACTGGAAATTTTTGTTGGCCTAAAACTAAATTTTTGGTCAAAAAGGTTTTCAATGGTCAAAAGTTTCTTTAAAAAGCACTTTTAGTGAAAAATGTCACTGACTCAAAAAAACCCACTCGTTTTCTGGTGAAACAGGATTTGGCCCTAGAAACAGCCTCACATGCTTACCAAATGTAAGTGAACAAAGCAGCATTTACATTACATGACATGACTGCTGCTGGTGTCAAGGCACCATCTTGTTTGTCCTTGAACACCATGTTTTTTCCAACAGTGACAATCCCCTTCTCACCTGCAGGCTGAACCTGTGCTGAAGGTCTCTTCTTAGAATCTGGAAGACAGGGTCCTGAAAGCGCTCCCGGTTAAGGATCCCAACATGTTCTTATCGAATCCTTGCTGCAGAATGAGATGTGGAAGTTATTGGAAGGCAGTTAATGCAGATAACTTGCAAATCAATAATTATCTAATGTCATCACCCATGAGTCAAATTCCTCTGTCCTACCTCAAAGACCACCCGCATCCAGCAAGTAGGCTGCGTGCACTCACTATGTCCTTTGCAGAAACGTTAATGTTGCATGCACCTTGTGCAATCTTTTGCCTGCACAAAGCATGCAATGTGTATGCAAACAGTCATAGTTATTGAGGGAATGAGTCTTTCCTGCATTGTCTTCCCTCTATAGGTAGCAGGACCTCAACCCGCCTTGCTGAGGAAATATCATTGCCTATACTGGAAAGACAGTAAGGATCAGGTATGTACGATGCACATTTGTGCAAGGACCATGTGTAAAATATGCTAGAGTGACTCTGTCTTGTCAAATTGGAGGTGGAATTGATGTCTTAAGGAGGGCTGCCATAAGGTTAAAAACAGAAAAAAACCCTCACCATCAACCTTTGTGTGGATTTGAGGCCCACAAGTTGCACCCATTTTCCACACACTGCCCCTTCCCCTCAGTCAATCCTTTTCCTCCAACAGCAGTTGGCTTTCCATGGTGTGGGGAGGAGAACCCCAGTTTGGTAAAAGAAACCAGTCTGGAGCAAAGAGCTAGTTCTGACTCTGCAGCTTTGGGGATTCTGCTGGGGAAGGAGAGGGGACCTGACAAATGCTGGCTGCTTCTCTTGTTGTTCTAACGGATTATTCTGTCCCTGAAGTAGGGGAGGTGACCACAGGGCAGGTCTGGGGACAAAAGAGGAAGTGTGGGAATAGAGAAAAAGAACCGTTGTTGGGGGCTGTCGCAATCACTTCTCCTCTAGCCACACAAGCTAGGGACTCCGTGGAGCTGCTTCTTCCACTCGCGCTGGCTTTGCACCAGTGGATCTGCATGGGCCTCAATGGAGTTATTTACACTAGTGTAAACGAGAGGCGAATGGGGCTCGTATGTTGGTGGGCAGCTCTAAGGGCACCTTAAAGCCCCAGCTTTTCTCGTAGACGCTGGCAATATTCAACACTGACTTACATCCCTCGCAAATTCATTGACCTCAGTGGGTGAATCCAGTTAGCTGAGAATCAGGACAAGGCTAACACTTAGCTTTCTCACCTGTTTGAGAATGCCCTGGAGCTCCCTGTGTGACCACAGATCACCCAGCAGGAGGCGAGCGGCTTCAGCTGCTTTTGGACAGGAGCTGGAAGGATGAAAGAAATCCAGTGAATCTTAGCTGGCCACAGCCCACCAATGCCCCTCTCAGCATGGTGTGAACCAGCTCCACTATTGCAGAGGGTTGGCCAGCCACAATGGAGATCATTCAACTACATGCTCACAGGTTGCCTTGAAGACATCATTTGGGCAAATGCCAAGGAGGGACGGGGATTTCTGGATGGTCCAAAGGGGAGTAACTCAGAGGAATGGGAGGAAGCTGAGCTAAAGAGACACTTCTGAACTGTCGAATCTAAACAGCTGCAAGATAGGAGGGAAATGGCATAAGCGCCATTATGGGACTCCTTTGGAACTAGATAGCACAGATCACTCAGTAATACAATATAAGGAACAACCTCGCGCTGCTTCATGGGGACAGCTGAGATGTGACTTAGAAGAAATAATAACAATACAGGTTGAACCTCTCTGGTCCGGCACCATCCGTGGTCCAGCATGATTTTATTTGGGGTTTTTTATGCTTTATCTACTTATTGCCTTGTGCAATACTAGGGTTACCATATTCAAACATTTAAAAAAGAGGACACTCCATGGGGTCCCAGTCCCGCCCCCGGCCCCACCCCAACTCTGCCCTTCCCCGCCCCTGCCCCCGGCCCCGCCCCAACCCCATCCCTTCCCCACCCCATTCCAACCCCTTCCCCAAAGTCCCTGCCCCAACTCTGCCCCCTCCTCTGAGCACCCTGCATTCCCCCATCTCCCTCCCGCTCTGAT